TACTGGCCTAGAGACACTGGCCTACTTTGCATCCAGTCTTGACATTGATTTAAATGGTTTGCAGATCACTGTTAACGATGGAACAAACATAGCTTTTGCAAATCTGTACACATGGTGCAAAACCAAACCATGTTAAGTCCAGTTCTAACTATTCAGGAGAAACCGTGTTTCGGAAGAAGATGTTTCAGAGCAGAGAAGTGACAGACACACTTTTCTTCTGCCTCCATCTACAGAATTTCCTGTTGGGGTTTGTGATCCCCACCCAATTTTTACCAATGGGCCGCATCGCTTACTTTCTGTAATTTTAAAATTAAAAAACAGTGTTATGTTGGACATGTTAATGTTTCCATATTGTTTTGTTTCATTCCATGTGAAACACTTCACAGGCAAGTATTTACATGTGAACATGTAAAGAGAATTATAAACTTTACCAGCAAGAAATTAGAGATGGCCCCACTGCTTTCTTCGACCTTTAATGCCATTTAGGCACAGACTTTGCTCTTATTCTGGATGTCACCATTTAGTTAAGGTTCTTGGGGTATTTAGCAACCTTCAACCAAGTGTTAGTAGGTCAGACAGCATCTTGTATAAGAAAAAAAATATAATCGAGCCTAAACATCTTTTGCAATATTTGCACATAAAATGTTGGCAAAATTTACGGTGATCTTACTCAAGCAGTATAACATAGTGCTAAGAGAAGAAAACAGCACAAATTATTTCTCAATGTTGAGAATGCCAGAACTTTGGATTCTCTACATTGGAGGTGAACAGCGAAGCTAATGAGTCTTGGATTTCATGGAGGGAAAAAAAATAGTTCAGGTTATGCTTTTTCCAGAAAGAGCAAATGAAACTGCCTTCTCTTTCGTCCATCACACTCAGGCTGCCTGAATTCTGACTAGCATCAGAAACCTGAAGGGTGGGCCCAGGACATTCCTGGTCCAAACTTCCTTTCAAAATGGAGATGCAGGTTGAACCTGTGGTCTTCTACCTTCAGAGCAATTGCTTGGCCACTGAGCTGTGTTTGGCAAGATTTCCCGTGCATTAAAGTCAAATAGAGAATTATATTTGGGCATCTTTTCTGCGTCCTGTACATAGTAGCAGTTTCCTTGGTTTTGCATTTGTAAAGACATTTAGCCTCCTCACTAAATTATTTCCTTGAGAAAAAAGCTCTGGAATTAGAGAGCAATTGTCCCTACTCTTAACAGTGCTCAAAACGTTAAAACTAAAAGATTTCTGAAACCAGGATAAAACAATTAAATTGAAGAGGGAAGAGGTCCCCAAAAGACAATAAAACAGCAGGGTTTAGTTTATATCCTATTTTGTCCACCAAGAATGGTGCAGAAGGAGGCTAGCTATAAAACAGAATGCCATTAAAACCTTAAATATTAACTCTAAACCTCTTGAATAAAAAGAAATGCACCTATTGCATTAAAACCTAATTTAGCAACAAACTGGGTTCACCATGCTAGGAGGCGCTCTTTCCCAACCCCACGTCCCCCAGATACCTTGAAACGGCAACCCCAAGGATTTCCAGCTGACCCAATCTGGGAAGCACAAACCTATTGTGATGTTACCCAGGGATGCGAGCAAGTGTCGTCATTATGCAGATGACATTCCACTTGACTTCTCCTTTTCATCCGAAGCAGGTGAGGCTTGAGCAAGCTAATGGCAGGAGAACAGCTAAATAAGAAAAACCCAGTCCAGGCAAGATGGAGATATGTTTTGCGGTGTTTCTTTCCTTCCTTCCTTCCTTCCTTCCTTCCTTCCTTCCTTCCTTCCTTCCTTCCTTCTTTCCTTCCTTCCTTCCTTCCTTCCTTCTTTCCTTCCTTCCTTCCTTCCTTCCTTCTTTCCTTCCTTCCTTCCTTCCTTCCTTCTTTCCTTCCTTCCTTCCTTCCTTCCTTCTTTCCTTCCTTCCTTCCTTCCTTCCTTCTTTCCTTCCTTCCTTCCTTCCTTCCTTCTTTCCTTCCTTCCTTCCTTCCTTCCTTCTTTCCTTCCTTCCTTCCTTCCTTCCTTCTTTCCTTCCTTCCTTCCTTCCTTCCTTCTTTCCTTCCTTCCTTCCTTCCTTCCTTCTTTCCTTCCTTCCTTCCTTCCTTCCTTCTTTCCTTCCTTCCTTCCTTCCTTTCCAGTAAGGTAGTGACCTTCACCCTGTCCTAGAGGGGCAGGGCATTCTCCCTCAAGGATCAAGTTCATGGGTTGGAAGTGTTCTTGGATCCATTTCTGTCACTAGCAATAATAGTATCTTTTTGGATTAGGTTTGTATGCCACTTATGACCACAACAGTGAAAACTGCTATATTTATTCAAGTGCCAATCATCTCCTCTTTGGATTCATGCAAGAAATGATGTGTGAAGATACCTTTGGAAGTAGCCTGCAAACTTCATTGAATCTGAGGCAGCATAACTAGTGTCTTCATTGGGATTAAGATTTAGCACACCCCTGACCTGATCATAGTGTGCTAAAGTCTGTTCTCTGCATGGGCCATAGTCTGGCTCTACACCAAATACAAAGTACTAGTTTTAATGTTGAAAACTCTGGGTGGCTTAGGACCAAGATACATCTAGGAGTGCTTCTCCTGTCATTATTTACTCAAAACCAAAGTTAGTCACCTGAGACTCTCAAGCTGAATAGTACTTTGGTCATAGCCTGATGACCTGCCAGAGAACGTCCTTTCTAAGTAGGCTTCTCTGGTCCCCATTACCTGGTCTTTTCGGCCCCAAAGTCATTTTACTTTCCCTTTCCCAGGGATTTTAAGAATAGCTTCATTGTTCCACCTTTTACTGATTTACCTTTTGCTGCTAATTTTAGCTTGATTTTTTTTTTTTATCACAGGAGGTAATTTTCATGCTATCGCTAATACTATTCAGTATCATTTTATCTTAGGCGGTTGTATTTTGATTTCATTTATCATGGTTTTATCTGTAGAACCCCCAGAAAGGCTAGCGTGATTTAACATTCTTAGAGTGCTAATAAATAAACAGCCTTTTGGAGACAGGGTATGACTGGGACTATAGCCCACAGCAGATTTCCAACAGACTGATGTTGCATCAACTCGCTTAGGCATGGCTATCTGCAGGGTGGTGGGAGGAGAATCAAGATTGCAAGATGGCGAGCATGGTGTTATTCTGAACACCGCCCCTACCCCAGAGATGCCTGTGTCTGGGATAAACATATTTATATTTGTATGAACAAAATGTGTGTGTGTGTGTGTGTTTTAAAAGTGGAGATCCAGTTCTAACTGCAGATACTATTATGAAAGACCAATTATTTTTGTTTTCTGTGGGTTTTTTTTCCCAGTGTGTGGACCAGCTGATCAGGATCCAGACCGAACTTCAAGAGACTGTCAAAGATTTAGCTAAGGGCAAGAAGAAGTACTCTGAAATGGAGCAGATGGCCCATGCTGTCCGTGAAAAGGCTGATATTGAGGCCAAGTATGTTCTAGCCCATCTGCGATGTCTGCATGTAAATTGTCTTCAGTAGCTGCCTACAACACTTTGCTGTAATTGTTAGTGGTAGAATCCTGCTTGTAAACAACGAGCCCCTGGACAGTCTCTTGATTACTGAGGAATTTTCTGTATTTCTCCGTGCAATCTTATTTTGGAAAAAATAACACATCACTTTCTAAATGTATTGTCTGTCACAGAGATTTTCTAGCCTCTTGACCAGAAAAACTTTTCTTTCTTTCTTTTTTGCAGGTCTAAACTTAGTCTTTTTCAGTCGAGGATAAGCTTACAGAAAGCAAGTGTAAAGGTAAATGTAAAAATAAATTGCACATTATAATTTTAGAGCTAAGTAACGTCTGGCAATGGAGACATCATGCAAAAGTGTGTGTTTTTTTTGAAACTCTATAAACTGCAGTGTATATTATTCATTCTTATTGAAAAATTAAGCAGCTTACCACTAGAAAGATATAGTTGCTTACAAGCTATCAACTTTTTATTAAAGTATTGCTTCACAGTGATAAATGTCTGCACTGCTATAATTTCTTACCTAATTCTGTTTTACTTATATAGTTAAAAGCACGCCGGTCTGAGTGTAATTCTAAAGCTACTCATGCGAGGAATGAGTATCTTCTCACATTAGCAGCTGCGAACGCACATCAAGATCGCTACTATCAAACAGACTTGGTAAACATTATAAAGGTAATGGCAGATTTAATTGAACAGCTTCCTTTTTTTTCCGTGTTAATCAGTTCTATTACAATGACTTATAATTTTAACCACAGTTCTATGAGCTATAGTTACTGTAAGATCTCATATTGCTTTGTTATAAAGAGAGCATTTGGTATCTAAAGTTTATTCAGTGTCTGAAGAGGTTTGGCCATATTTAAACAACTGGGTTTTTTTTTAATTACTACGTGATATCAGCCAAACATAGATGTAATATTGCTAGACGTCATAATTTGCGATCCCTAGACTGTGAAACATAGAGGATTTGTTTATACCAATCCCAGCTATGTTTGCAGCAATTAGATTTTGTTGTTTCCTTTGAACAAACCTGGTTTGCTAGCTAAACCAGGTCAGGAAAACATGCTTTAAGTAGATCTGCGGCTCACGGGTGTTGATAACTTTGTTTTTGCCATCATGATATGACTAAAGTATAATCCAGGTACTGCTGCATGTTGGAAGCATGTGGAACTTCTCAAAACAAAAGCAGTTCCAGAGTTTTAAATCCATTTGCTTTTTAAAGAACAAATCAAGGTTTAAGTCTGAAGATGTGGTTTTTCCATACCATTACATTACATCTGCAGTAAATCAATGTGGATGTGGCGTGTTGCAGCCTCTATCAGAGGAAGGGCAGAGGACAGATTCTGGGGGGAGGAGGAAGGGTCGTTTAAAAATAAAACTGGTGGGCACATTAAGTCTTCCTTTTAAGGTTTCCCGTCTCAAAATGGCAGGAAGCTGCATTGCTTATTTTCAGCAGTGCTGGTCAAAATTAACTTTGTGGCCATATTTTTAAAACATTTTTTAATTTATTTTAAAACCTTTAAAGAACAAACTAAATGACTGCATCAAGGAAAAAGGAAGTGAAAACAATAGTGGGTGGAAGATAAACTATCAATAAACAATTTACAATTGTCGTAACATTTAAAATTCATCATTTCGTGGATTGAATAATTAATGGTATATATACCACTAGACTCATTGTATCATCTTAAGAAATAATTGAAAATCACTACAAAATGTATTCCTGATTCATATTATAGTCGTGCCTAGAGAGTATTCTGTGGGATAGACTTTAAAAAAATCTGATTCACAGAGGTTTTAGGCTGATATTTGTCAAGGAGTCCCCCCTTTGCGTTAGATGCCCCGTGGCCAACTGTGTTTGAAACTGTGGAGTTACTACCAAGAAGGAGAATGCCCTTTCGTGTTGTTTTTTTTCCTCTTTGTGATATTGTTCTGGGCTCTTTGCAGTGTTTACGCTGCCCAGGGTTGCCGTAGAGTCAAGCAGCCTTATAGAAGTTGGATAGAGAAATATATAAACTCCATTGTGCAAACGGTTACTTTTTAATTTTTTTAATTATATTTTATTAGCGAAGTATGACAAACAAACAATGAGAAAGGATGCGTCGGTGTGTTGCGATAAAAAAGCCCTATTTCTTATGGAGCGCAACCACACGAAACAGGTTGGGCTTTGTGTTCAGGCTTTTTAAGGGACTTCTTTTAAAGCAGGGTAAAATAGCAGAGCTTTTCCTGAAACAATCTCTGGTCATAAGCTGCCCGACTAAGACGTAGGTTTCCTCCGACTTCAGAGCAGCCTCCCTCAACTCGCGCCCAGGGCTTTGCGGAAGTCTTGCCTGGGGAATGGGGGAGTCGGCAGTCCCAGCCCATCTGGAAAGGGGGTTTCTGCTTCTAAGCCCATCATCACCATTTGTTCCCTCCAATATCCATTTAAAAACTAGGGAGAACAAATTCAACTGCCTAAAAATAATCACAGGAGAGCTATTCATGGGTTCTTTGTGGAGCTGTGGTGGAACACAATGAAGCAAAATAATAGTTTTGGCTAGTTAATTGCCAATCATGTTTAACTGTATGTGAATAAAAGCGGTCCTCAGCCAGTTGAATTATCACTAAATAACAGTTCAGCTGGCAGGAGGGAAGCAACAAAGATTTTTTAAACTCTTTTTTTAAAGCTGTAAACAAGTATGGAGCACAACAAATATATTCTACGTTTTCTGCCTCTCTTTTGCTTAACCTCCCTTTTTCAACAAAACTCACTCCGTTTCTTTCTCTAGATCATTCAGTTTTCTGGGATTCCCTCTCCCTCTTTATTATTAACCATGATGATGGTGGTGGTGGTGGTGGTGGTGGTGGTTGGTCACGCAGTCAGCTAGATGTTTAGGCTGGATTTGGCATTTTTATCCTCCTATCAAGTCCTCCCCAGGACCTGGGGCAGGCAGATGTTGTTTGATGGTGTTAAAGGTATCGTTGCAGGATGGAAGCTGTTCCAAGTCAAGCGGCCTTTTGCAATGGACTGATTATCATCACCACCACCACCACCATCATCATCCTCTATTATGAGGTTGAGATTTTTATTGTGAGATGTGTTAGCAAAAATCACCTTATTTCGTTTTGCAAATGATTTCCTACATGCTAAAAGGCTAGAAGTTACATGTTTTGTTCTTCTTAATGGTTCAGAGATTTGGAATGAAATGCATCTCAATTATACTAAAAACTTGGGAACTTGGTTCATATTAAGACTAATTTATTCTTCTGTGGTGATATTTTTTATTTATTTATTTATCACATTTATATAGCTGCCCATCTCACATGATGCAACTCTTAGTTTTGTTTGGGGGGGGACTAGAGAGGAGTGAGGTCAGAGGGGATGGGCTAAGAGTAAATAGTAATGACTTTACCAAATAGCGTCGATGACAGCCCGCAACTTCTTAGAATTAGCAAACTAATGAACAGGTACATTCTGATAAAAATCCATAATCTCAATTTGAGCTACAGGTAGTAGATTTGAATTTCTGGATGAATTGTTAATTTAGTGGCTTTGCCCAAGCGTTTCCCTTTGAAAAATTTTTTGTTCTAGAACAATGTGCTGGCTGGGGGATTCTGGGAGTTGAAGTCCACATGTCTTAAAGTTGCCAAGTTTGAGAAACACTGGTCTATAATGTCCTGGAATTGGCCAGAAGACAGAATTTTTGGTAATTAGATCTTGGTTCAAGATCATTCCACTCTTCTACATGTGTTGATTGACTTACTTGCAACAGGAAGTTTGTGTTACCAACATTGCTACCTCTTGGTCCTATAGCTATTTTGTCACCAGCCGTTTTGCAACTCCATTTGACCACTCGTTCATTTCCATCCCCACCAGGGTATCTGTCCTGGGGTGTTCTAACCCTTTTAGGATTACGCTTCAGACATCTAAAGAAAATCTGGCCAATGCTATGCTCAAATACAGACAAATTCTTGCTTTTACTT